AGCACAGTGCCTGGAATCTCTTGGAGAACTGAGACACGTCGGCTGACTGAATCAATGCATGAAAAATTGAATAGATGGGCGAAAAGAGGCTGAGCGGAGAAAGAGGGCAAAAACTGCAGGGAGGTGGCTCCGCGCCAACAAGAAATACTTCCTAATGAGGTAGGGAAAGCCCGGGACAGGTCAGAGGAAGGCTGCGGCGAGGACGTGTATGTGTGCGCATGGAAGGGGTACTCCAGGCGACCGCGACCGCAAAGCGCCCATCGCGCCTCGAGTTAGCGCCACGGCCAGACGAGGAAGCGCGAGTAGGACGCCAAGGTACAAGTCGGCGGGGAGAGAGGAGGAAGGGAAAGGGGCTTGGGTGAGGAGACAAGGCCTAGCATCGAAGGATGAGGTGAAGAACCGGCCCTCCTCTTGGACAAGTCCCCTCTTGAAGAAGTCCCCAAACGGGGACCGTTTGGATGTAACCGCCTCCCGTCTCGGCATCTGTCTACCCAGCCGAGCTTCGCTCCGCCACAATCGCCACATCAGGTTCCCAACTCTCGTCCCGCTTCTGCTCGGTTTCGAGCCCTTGCCTCACAGCCATCCCCGCCAACTCGGTCCGCTCCGTACCTCACACACGACTCGCCGGCGACAGCCGCCATCTTCCCGCGCGCGCGCCCCAGCCCCGCCCCACAAACGCCGTGCCCACGTGACCGCTGGCCGAAGCCCAGACGCGTGGGGCGGAGCTTCCGTCACGTTAACTCCGTAAGGGGCGGGGCCAAGATGGCGGTGTCCGGGGAAGCGAGGAGCCCGCGGCGAGAGTGGCCGCGGCGGTAAGAAAGGTGGCCTAGTGGCGACGTCTGCGCCATAAATTGGAGGTGGTGAAGGCTGACCGGGGTTCAGCTTTCAGGCCGCAGAGAGTGACCAGCAGTGGAGCTTCTCTCCTCGCAGCTGGAGAACGGAAAGAGAAGGTTACTGGCTCGGTGAAGCTGTTGCCCTCTGCCTGGAGGTGTTGAGGGGCCAAGAGTCTAAGGCGTCCCTAGTCACCTACTTTCCTGAGGCCTCAAGTCTAGAGACATGACCCGAGATAGCGCTCCTCCGACCCCGGGGGCGGAAGCTCCGCTGAGCGGGTCTGTGTTGGCAGAGGCAGCAGTGGTATTCGCCATGGTGCTGAGCATTCACGTGATCGTGTGGGACAGATACTCGTGGTGCGCTGTAGCCCTCGCAGTGCAGGCCTTCTATGTCCAATACAAGTGGGACCGGCTTCTTCAGCAGGGAAGCGCCGTCTTTCAGTTCCGAATGTCTGCCAACAGTGGACTACTGCCTGCCTCCCTGGTTATGCCTTTGCTCGGACTAGTCATGAAGGAGCGCTGCCAGGCTGCAGGGAACCCACACTTTGAACGCTTTGGCGTTGTGGTGGCAGCCACTGGCATGGCAGTGGCCCTTTTCTCATCAGTTTTGGCTTTGGGCATCACCCGCCCAGTGCCCACCAACACTTGTGTCATCTCAGGCTTGGCTGGAGGTGTCATCATTTACATCATGAAGCACTCGCTCAGTGTGGGTGAGGTGATCGAGGTCCTGGAGGTCCTGCTGATCTTTGTGTACCTCAACATGATCCTGCTATACCTGCTGCCCCGCTGCTTCACCCCTGGAGAGGCACTGCTGGTGTTAGGTGGCATCAGCTTCGTACTCAACCAGCTCATCAAGTGCTCTCTGATTGTGGTGGAAAGCCAGGGGGACCCAGTGGACTTCTTCCTGCTGGTGGTGGTGGTAGGGATAGTACTTATGGGCATCTTCTTCAGCACCCTTTTTGTCTTCATGGACTCAGGCACCTGGGCCTCCTCCATCTTCTTCCACCTCATGACCTGTGTGCTAGGCCTCGGGGTGGTCCTGCCCTGGCTGCACCGACTCATCCGCAGGAACCCCCTCCTCTGGTTCCTTCAGTTCCTCTTCCAGACAGACACCCGCATCTATCTGCTAGCCTACTGGTCTCTGCTGGCCACCTTGGCCTGCCTGGTGGTATTGTACCAGAATGCCAAGCGGTCATCATCTGAGTCCAAGAAGCACCAGGCCCCCACCATTGCCCGGAAGTATTTCCACTTCATTGTGGTAGCCACCTACATCCCAGGTATCATCTTTGACCGGCCACTACTCTATGTGGCTGCCACTGTATGCCTGGCAGTCTTCATCTTCCTGGAGTATGTGCGCTACTTCCGCATCAAGCCCCTAGGCCATACTCTGCGGAGCCTCCTGTCCCTCTTCCTGGATGAACGAGACAGCGGACCACTCATCCTGACCCACATCTACCTGCTCCTGGGCATGTCTCTTCCCATTTGGCTAGTCCCCAGACCCTGTACACAGAAGGGTAGCCTGGGGGGAGCAAGGGCCCTCGTTCCTTATGCTGGTGTCCTGGCTGTGGGTGTAGGTGATACTGTGGCCTCTGTCTTTGGCAGCACCATGGGAGAGATCCGCTGGCCTGGAACTAAAAAGACTTTTGAGGGGACCATGACGTCTATATTTGCTCAGATCATTTCTGTAGCTCTGATCTTAATCTTTGACAGTGGCGTGGACCTAAATTACAGTTATGCTTGGATTTTGGGGTCCATCAGTACTGTGTCACTCTTAGAAGCATACACTACACAGATAGACAATCTCCTTTTGCCTCTCTACCTCCTGATATTGCTGATGGCCTAGCTGCTATACAGTAGCAGTGATATAGGAAACAGGAACATGGGGAGGATGAATGGCCCCCACACCAGCCAGCCACTTGGGCGTGAAGAGCCAAGGGGTGAAAAGTAGTTTGGATTTTTTGGTTGGTTCAGATTTAAAATAAAAATAAAAGCTTTCCTGGTTTTAGTTTTGCTGATGTTTCGAGGTGGGGGACGGCACTTAAAGGATATGGCAGCAACTCAAAGAACTTGAGTGTGCTTTGGAGCCCCCCTGCCCCCTCACCTTGCAGTCCTCAGAGAAGGCTGGAAGGAACACCAGTGGAACACAGTGGTTAACACTTCAGGTTCTGGTGTCAACCTAATCTGGTTAGATTCCTTGGCTGCACCTCTTACTGTGGCCTCAATTCTCCAGTCTGCAAGAAGGGCTATAATAATTACTAACAACATGCACCTCATAGAAGTGTTGTGAGGATCCAGTGAGATGAGGTGTATGAAGTGTCCAGTTAAGGGCATAGGGGCAATCACTAAGGGAAAGTGTCATTATTACCCAAGACCAGCGTCATGTAGTAACAGCCATGCAAGCCAAGGGCGTTATACCAGTTTTACTTGGAGAACAGGGTGCCCTTTACTTCTCTGCTTCATTTGGACAAGGAAAACCCAAGGGGTTAATAGCTGAGTGCATGTGGTTTCTCCCATCTGAGCTAGGAAGAACTGAAGGGAAGAGGTAGAATTGGTTTAGTGCATGCAAGGAAGGGCTAGGGGAAGAGAATCAGGTCCTGGGCTAATGTCCTGTTTCAGCCACACAGACACACACACCTCCAAGACCTGCTGCCTGGCTGAGTGGTGCTGATGGGCTGGACAGCATAAGGTCTTGTCAAGAGGGTCCTTCCTGAGATCTTCTCCCACCCCAAATACATCAAACCTGTGTTTATCTCTTCCCTTAGCAACACATTAGAGCCTAGAACAGGTCCAGAGGGACTGGAGGAGTTTCCTGGGAGCTGACAATGGCTCTACTCTGGAACTCTGCCTAAGCAAGGGCCCAGACTCCACCCTTGCTTTCTGTGTCCCATTGCATAGTCCATTGACAGTATAGAACCTGACATACTCAATCAACATTTGCTGAATAGATGAACATTTCCTGTCAGCGGGAAGATAATACAGTATGTTTCATGAGGCTGAACAAGGTGCTCCCCAATTCCCATCCAGTCTGACGGAAAGACCTAGCAGAGTGGTGAGAACTTTGGTCCAACAAGGCCAGAAGCTAGGAGCAGGGCCAGGAGCAGCTTAGGGGGAGCTTGCATTTCCACTTGAGAATCTGCCAAGTCCTTTCTCTCAGAAGAGAGTAGTGAAACATTCCTTGGAGGCACAAAGGAAACTTAACAAGTCTGTCCTTTCCTTCAAGCTCCCTTCTGCTTGTCAAAGGAGGCAGTCTCAGCTTTGCTCCACTGACTTCCTGGTGGCCTTGGGAAAGGCCTTTCTCCCTGGGCCTTGGTTTGTCCATGTATAGATTTGGGGGCCAGACTAAATCAGGGCCACAATCTCACCCACCAAGGCCAGGCAGGTCACAGATGAATGAGGATGGGGAAGTGGGAACCGTGCTGAACCCAAGAGCACATGTGCCTCTAAAGAGGCAGCTCTATCTGGCAGTTGCCACGCTAAAATGTGGGCCGTGTGTTGATTTTCTGCTCATTCAAAGAAAGCTTAAAAGCCTGGATTTTTATGTGAAATCTCCCAATTTTAAAGTGTTTTTCCAGGCTGGAAGCCCAAATAAAACACATCTGCAGTAGATTCAGCTCATGGCCCCAGTTGCATGACCTCTGGGCCAGACCTAGGTCTCTGGGTCCCCCAGCTAAGCAGGATTTGGATTTGGCAGTTGTCCCCACAGAGGCTCTGGGTACCTGCCAAGCATTCATTCCCAAGCTTATCTTGAGAGCAAGACTGCTTGGGAGAAAGGGACGGAGCAGCTGCATTTGGAAGTCATTTTTATTCAGTATCTCATGGCACAAATCAGAGTTGCACATCAGAGGACAGAAGAATAAGTAGCAGAGAGGTGACCAGAGTGCTTTCATGCCAAGAGGTCTCCTCAAGGGGGAGGGTCTCTTGGGGCAGGGAAGAGGCAGGGAAATGATCTTGGGAATGCCTCCCATCCAGCCCCTGCTGTGCTGCCCTGCCACTCTCACCTCTTGCCTGCTGCCTGCTGGGCTCCAGGCACACACACTGGCAGAGAAAAGCCCAGGAGAGAAGATGCAACTTTGCTATTGCAGCCAGGAGGTCAAGTGAAGTAGCCTGGCCAGCTATTGGTGTTTGCATCCTCTCCTGGGAGGAGCAATGCCTTACTCCTTCTGAGGGCCATCAGGTATACAGTGGAGGAAAGGGCAGCTCAGCTGTGGGCTGGAGCCTGCAGAGGACAAAGAGGCAGGTCTCACTGCTCCAGCTTCCAGCTTCTCCTCAGGGAACCATCAGTCATGCACACCCATGCTGCCCTACCAGTTCTCTGGGCTCCAGATGGTACCAGAGGCTTCCATGAGGTGGAATGTGTAGGCCTGGCGTGAGTGGTCAGAGAGGTTCTGTTCACTCTTGTGTACTACTTCTCCATGGATTAGGACAAGGGCCCCTGGCAAGGATCCAAGCAGGTCATGTCCTCTCCCTGGGCCTGGGAGAGCACCAGCCCCTATTCCCCCTTCCCAGGGCAGGAATGGACACAGGTCTTCCTCAAGAGTCCTGTGTCCCTCCTATCCCTCCCCATGTTGTTGTTGTTGTTATGTGCACTATGCTACCAGAGCTCTTAGGCACTACGCTACCCATCCCTAATTGTTCAGCCCACACCGCCTGCTCTAGGGTTGGAGGCTGTGCTGGTAGGTTTCCCTGGGATCAAGTTCTGCTGCTGTGGCCTGCACCCCTGGCAAGGCTTAGGAGGCCATTCCATTCCATAGTATTTGCAGAAGCAAGCAGAAAGTCTCTGTACCATGCTAGTTAGCTGTGACGTTGGCCAGTGAATGCTGAGTTGGACCTCAATTTCCCCTCTTCTGAAAGAAGGGTGGACCGATAGCCAGCATTTGTTGAGTACTTGCTGTGTGCAGCATGAATTCTATGTAAGCATCTTACATATTTCATTTCACTTGCTTACCCACTCTGTTGCTGTGTGCCATCAAGTCAATTCCAACTCATAGTGACACCTGTATGACAGAGTAGAACTGCCCCATAGGGTTTCCTAGGCTGTAATCTTTATGGGAGCAGATTGTCAAGACTTCTCCCACGGAGCTGCTGGTGAGTTTGAACCACTGACCTTTCTGTTAGCAGCCGAGTACCACCAGGACTCCTTCTTCCCCACTCAACACTGGGGGAAACTGAAGCTCAGAGAGGTCATCATTTGTCCAGTCAGCCCATGAGTAACACAGTATGAATTTGAGGCTGATCTGGAGACCTTGCCTTTAACCACACTGCTGAATGCCCATCCAGTCCTGACTTTCTCTCACCCTGTAACTTCACAGGCCTCTGATGATCCCATGGAGAACCTCTTGGGTGCTGGTAGTCAGAAGGAGGAGGGGCCCATGTGCATGGCCCCACACCCCCTCCTTCCCTGCCCTCTATAGTCCTCCTACCTCTCTGGACAGGTGTGGGCATAAAGAGGCTGCTCTCCCAGGCTGGTTCTGACCCGAGGAACCTGGTGCCAGGTGCCGAGCAGGCCGGGGACCGAACCATCCTTCTTGACACTCCACCTGCAGGCCAAATTGGAGCCATTAGCCCCTCTTTTCTCCAGCCCCCTATCCCTGAGGCCAAGGAGGGTATGGGTGGGCAGACAGAGACAGGTGTCCTCACTTGTATGGGAGCCAGGGATGAACCAGAGGCAGCCGTTCTCCAGCGTGGCATCCTCCAGTGCGATCCACACACCCAACACCCGGCCCAGAGGCTCCGTGTACAGGAACGTAGCATCCTGGTGAGGGGAGACTGCAGCAGGCCCGCCAAGTGTGAGAAGACCACCCCTTTGGCTAGGGCCACCTCACTTGGCCCCATTTACCCCCCTCATCCTCCTGGACCCCTCCAGGGCCAGCCTCCCCATGAGCAGTTAGAATTTTACCCTTCCTGGTCTGAGACTTTTAGGCAAGAGATTTCACTTCTCAAAGCTTTGATCTGCCAAACTGTAAAAGTGGTCCCAACAATAACCTACCTCTTAGGACTGCTAGAAGATTCCATGAGATAGTGTATGAAAAGTGTTTAATACAGGGCCCTGACATGGTTTGCTTGCTAAAAAGTTACTAAAAGCAACTACCATTTAATTGTAGCCAAGTAGCTATGGCCACTGCTCTTAACCAAGGACAAGCAGCCTCCAGCCACCAGATGGGTCCACTAGGTGGTGTAAGATTGGGAACTTTGGTGCTAAGAGGAACATGACTATGACCAAGCATCCATATTTTTGAATACCTGTCCAAGTATGAGGGAGCTCTGGTGGCACAGTGGTTAAAAAATTTGGCTGCTAACCAAAAGGTTGGCAGTTCAAACCCACCAGCCACTCCATAGGAGAAAGATGAAGCAGTTTGCTTTCATAAAGATTTACAGCCTTAGAAACCCTATGAGGCAGTTCTACTCTGTCCTATAGGGTTGATATGAATCAGGATTAACTCGATGGCAGTGGGTTGGGTTGGGTTTGCCTAAGTGATGCTGGGGCCCAGGCAGGACAGAGAACCACTGAACAAAGACAGCAAAGTCTGTAGTAACAAAGTAAAGAGGTGCTAGCCTCACTTCCTTCCTGCGTGGGAAATTGTGTGTATTTCTGAGCACCAGACTTTAAGAGAAAATTTGACAATCTGGATGGCGTCCAGAGGAAGGTATTCTAATGGTACGGGCTCCAAAGCGTTTGGGGAGGAATGGCTGAGGGAATTAGAGATGTTGGATTCAGGCAGAGAAGGCTCAGGAAAAGAGTGGCCACTGTTCCAGAGGACTGCCCTTGGGCTGAATAGCAGGGAGGAGTGGGTAGTCACAGGAGGTAGACTTGGGCTCACGGAAAAGGCAGCCTATAAGGGGGTAAGCTCCTTGTCATCAGAGATTTTTAAGAAGATGTGGGGGCTGTAAAGGGCATCTATATTTCTGGTGGGTGTTGGAACTAGACCAGTAATTGCGATCCTGAATTCATTCCCAGGAAGCTTGCTAAAAATAAGATTCTAAGGCCTATGTAACCCTACTGAATCAAAATGTCAGAGGCCAGGGGCCTGGAAACTGCATTTTTAACAAACAAAGGTTGCTGCCAGAATTAGGAACCACTGTGCCAAGGGTTCCAAGGCCCTCTCCCAATTTAGTGTTCAAAGAAGGAATGGAAGGTGGCTCCAGCTTCTCCTGCTCTGGCCCAGCTTCCTGCCTGCCAACATCTCAGCAGTAGCTTTCCTTTCCTCCCAAGACCCGACAACCACAGATGTCCCATATCTCCTGCCCGTGGCCTTTGCTGGGCCCCACAGCCTGCTGCTCTCAGCTCACCTTCGCCGCCAAAATGAGGTTGCTGAAAGAGATAAGTAGAGCCTGGTGAGGACAAGAAGAGCAGGGAGTGTGGAAGGTGCAGGGGCTCACTCTGTGTCTTGTGGGATGCTCCTGCCTCACTCCAGGTGTTTACCTCCAAGGATTCCACCCCAACACCTAGCTATTGAGCACCTACCATGTACCAGGCTTTGGGGGACTCAAAGAGAAAGAGCACCCTGAGCAATAGGGAGGTCCCAGTCTAAGCAGGAATCAGCACACGCAAACCTCAGAACACAGACAGAATGAACTGAGGACTAGAAGAGGTGAAGACGGAGCTAGTGGCACGCTTTTCACCCTCAGACTGAGATGGACCCTTTTCCTTCTCAAGGGATCTGGAAGGCTTCCTGGAGGTGACACTGAGCTGGGCCTTAAAAACTCGAAACAGAGCACTTTGATAGGCCAGGAAGGATGGAGGGAGTTCTGGGGATGTGCCAGGAGCCTCAATCAGAGGACACTGATTTTATATGGGCTGTACAGAGTAAATAATTCCCCAGTTCCTTGGGGAAACAGCTTCCAGCCCATGGTAAGGAGGGGCTTGGTGTGAGCACTGTGCCAGTTTTACAGAAGGGAAACTGAAGGGTGGGAAGACACAGAAATCACCTTGAAGATGTACATACTCTGCACCACCACGGGCATCTGGAGGCCTAGACTCCTGGCCAAGGCCTGAAAGGGGGCAAAAGTCATTATGCCAGCCTGCCTACATGCCCATCTGGTCCACCTACCTGGCCCCTGCCCCATCCTCTGCTCACCTGCATTTTGGGGGAGTGTGTGACACACCTGAAGACTGGGTCATGGGCATGCAGAGCTGCAGGGACAGAAGCAGGCTGAGTGCAAACAATAGACAGGCATATGGGGTGAACATTTACATCAGGTAGATATACTCCTTGGAGCTATCGATCATGGGAGAACAGAAGGGCAGTGTTTGCACAGGGAGATAGCTGGGGTGGGGGGCAGAGAGAGGGACACAGGGAAGAGGTAACTATGGGGAGGAAGTGGGAAGAGAGCTGTTACATTGTGGGGTATTGTAATCAATGTCATGAAACAAAATGTGTATTAACTGGTGTATGGAAAATGAATTTGCTCTGTAAACTTTCACCCAAATCACAATAAAAATTAAAAAAAAGAAGAAGAAGAAGAAGAAGTGGGCTGAGTGGCCAGCCCCCAGCCACCATGTGTCCCTCTCATGCCTAGCTTAGGACACCCAGACTCAGGCTTCATGTTGACATTCTCATGTATTTTGTATTCATTGGTTATAAACTTTCTGCTTGTTTATAACCAAGTAGTGGGTTCCACACATGCCTTCATCCCACACCAGACCTTATCCTACCCATGACCTTCATCTTCACCTTCTTGCTGGAGGAACTCCCCTCCAGCCCTAACTCCCTATTCCTCATGGAGGACAAAGGGTTCCAAGGGGCCCATCACTTGGTAGCAATCTCTGCACTTCTGCTTACTCTTTGTGACTTTGGGTAACCATTCTCCTCCTGTCTCCTCCTCTGTAAAATGGAGACCAGAAGAATAGCTCTCTCTCCCAGGGCTGCTGGGAAGACTCAGTAGGCTAACACATGCACAGTTACACCCCAAGGCCTAGCACAGAATAGTCATTCATTAGCACTATTTGCTATCATTGTTGTTATTTCAAAAAGTGAGGGTTTCCTGGCTAGGTTTTGAGCATACGTGATTGACAATCATGTCAACATCTCAGGTGCCCCTTGAACAGGCTCCAGGAATCAGGACATAGGAGCCTCCCATTGCCCCAGACCAGGCAGCAGAGAGCTGAAGGGCCTATGGGTGCTCATATGTGTTGGGACCCCTCTTCACAGTGCTGTAGTGGTAGTATCTCGACTGTCATATGATTGGCATCATGAGATGCAGAAGAGCAGGGCCAGAAGGGGAGCATGCACTCAGGGATACCAACTGTCCGGCCACTAGCTTACTGTGGTCTTTGGGCAAGGCCCCTAATCTCTTCAGGCCTCAGTTTTCCCATTTCTTTCCTACCCACCCATGCCCTACTCACCATGGCCAATTTTGTTGATGGACTTCTCTGGAGGGACCAGGAAATTGCCTGTGAGAAAAGGAACAGGTAAAGGCAGAAAAAGAACCAGAGTCTATCCTCTCACAGGCAGCTGACCTCAGTGCCCTTTCAGCCCTGAAGACAGATACCTAAGTCCAGCCCACCCTCACCTTGGCTCCCCTGAACCTCTAGGGCCCTGGCTACATACCTTCCTTGTCAAAAACACCTTTCTCAAAGAAGAATCTAATCTTGTCGCCGCTGCTCAAGAAATAGTCTGTGCTGCCCTGTAAAGAGGAGACATCAGAGGGGCTGAGCAGACATCAGGGGTCAGAGCTGGGCCTGGCAAACAGAGAGGGAGGACTCAGAAATCTCCCACCCCCATGGGACTACAGAACCCCTCCAGGCTTCCCAAACTCGATCACTGAAGCGCAGGACAGTGAATTGGAGCCCCAAGTGCCTGAAAACACAACCTGAGATTTCTTGCAAACTTCTTAATAAGTCATAGGGCTATTACACTCTACTTGATAGTGTCGTGATTAAGAAAACGGATGCCAGAATTGAACAGGCTTGGGTCCCACGTACCCTTGGGCTACTCACTTTACCTCTCCAGGACTTGGTTTCTCATCTGTAAAAAAGGAATAATAATGGAACTCCCCCGATATTGGGAGCTTCAGCCAGCTGAATCCCACAGCAGTTGAGAGCAGACTCTGGAGCTAGAATTGTTATTACTGTTGTTAATAGATGCCATGGAATCGATTTTGATTCATAGTGACCCCATGGAGCAGCTGGCTGAGTTCAAACCACCAACCTTTCAGTTAACCATTACACCACCAGGGCTCCTAAATACTTGAGCTAAAATCCCAGCTCTACCACCAACTAGCTGTGGGACCCCAACGACATTATTGAACTTCTCCAGGCATAGTTTCATCCATAACATAGAGACACTATTAATGGTACCAAGGAGCTCTGGTGGCGTAGTGGGTAAGATCTGGCTGCTAACTGGAAGGTCAGTAGTTCAAACCCACCAGCTGCCCTGTGGGAGGAAGATGAGTCAATCTACTTCTGTAAGATTTTATTTATTTATTTATTTTTATTGTGATTTGGGTGAAAGTTTACAGAGCAAATTCACTTTCCATACAGCAGCTCACATACACTTTGTCTCATGACATTGACTGAAATCTCCCACAATGCAACAGCTCCCCTCCCACTTCCTCCCCATAGTTACCTCTTCCCTGTGTCCTTCCCTCCATGCACTCCTGCCCCCTGAACTGTCCCCCTGTACATACACACCCCTTCTATTCTCCCATGATTGATCTCTCCAAGGAATGTATCTACCTAAAGTAAATGTTCAGCTCATATGCCTGTCTTTTTTGTTTTCAATTAATGGTACCAATCTTACAAGGTGTTGTAAGGATTACAAGTTGATATATATAAAGTTCTAGCACAGTCCTTGGAATGTGGTAAGTATCATATAAGTACTGGCCTCTGTTATTATTACTATGTATAAAACACTTAATGAGGGCACGGCTAAACGCTCAAGAAATATTAACTGTCACTGTTGTTAGGTGCCCGTCGAGTCAGCTCCAAGTCATAACAACCCTAGGTGCATGGCCCAGTCCTGCACCACCCTCACAATCACTGCCATGCTTGAGCCATTGCTGCAGCCTTTGTGTCAATCCATCTCATCAAGGGTCTTTCTCTTTTTTGCTAAACCTCTACTTTACCAAGCCTAATATCCTTCCCCAAGGTCTGGGCCCTCCTGATAACATGACCAAAGTACAAGAGAAAAGGTCTGGCCATGCTCACTTCCAAGGAACATTCTGGCTGTACTTCTTCCAAGACCGATTTGTTCATTCTAATAGCAGTCTATGGTATACTCAACATTCTCCATCAATGCCCCAACTCAAATGCATCACCTCTTCTGCAGTCTTCCTTATTCACTGTCCAGCTCTCACATGCAAAAGAGGCTACTGAATATGTCATGGCTTGGGTCAGGTGCAACTTAATTTTCAAAGTGACATCTTTGCCTTTTCACACTTTAAAGAGGTCTTTTGCAACAAATTTGCCCAACGCAATACATCATTGGATTTACTGACTGCTGCTTCCATGGGTGTTGGTTAGGATCCAAGTAAAGTGAAATCCTTGAAAACTTCAATCTTTTTTCCATTTATCACAATATTGCTTATTGGTCCATTTGTGAAGATTTTTATTTTCTTTGTTAAGACGTAATCCATACCAAAGGCTGTGGTCTTTGATCTTCATCAGTAAGTGAGTGCAAGTCTCCTTCACTTTCAATAAGCAAGGTTATGTCATCTGCGTACCTCTGCAGGTTGTTAATGAGTCTTTCTGTAATCCTGATGCTGCATTCTTTTTCACATAGTCCAGATTCTTGGATTATTTGCTCACCATCGAGACTGAATAAGTATGGTTAAAGGATACAGCCCTGACACACACCTTTCCTGATTGTAAACCACACAGTATCCCCTTGTTCTGTTCAAACCTCTTGGTCTGTGGATAGATTCCTTATGAATGTAATTAAGGGTTCTGGCATTCCCACTCTTCACAATATTAGGCATAATTTGTTATGATCCACACAGTCAAATGTCTTTGAATGGTCAACAAAACAAGTAAACAGCTTTCTGGTATTCTCTACTTTCAGCCAAGGTCCATCGACATCGGCAATGACATCCCTTGTTCCACATATTCTTCTGAATCCAGCTTGAATTTCTAGCAGTTCCCTGCCATTCTACTTCTGCAAACATTTTTAAATTATTTTCAGCAAAATTTTACTTGTATGTGATATTAATGATATCGTCCAGTAATTTCCTGGATTACCTTTCTTTGGAATGGGCACAAGTTTGGATCTCTTCCAGGTGCTCAGCCATGTAGCTGTCTTCCAAATTTCTTGGCATAAACCATTGAGTGCTTCCAGAGTTGTATCCATTTGTTGAAACATCTCAATCAGTATTCCATCAATTCTTGGACCCTTATTTTTCACTGATTCTTTCAGTGCAGCTTGGACTTCTTCCTTCAACACCATCTGCAAAAAACGATGTGGCGGCAGCATCATCTGACCTCCTCTAACTCACAAGGAAGGCAGAGAATCAAGATGCATATCAACAGTCCAAGGCTGATTCCTATGAGGCAGAGGTCTGATATGCCACCACCCTCCAACCTTTTTGCTAATTCTGATACCAACCATTCCTCCCACAGCACTCTCTACTTCTCTGCTGGGTTCAGTAATTCATTGCAATGGCCACACAGAACTCACAGACAACACTCATGATTATGGGGTTCATTAGGTAAGTAGCAGGTTACAATTTAAGTGCAGGAATGCTCAGGAAACAATTCCTCGATCATGACAGCCTCTCTTTGTCCCTCGGCCTTGTGGCCAGGCCTCTTCCCTGCTTGGGCAAGTGTTTCAAGGCTCTTTTAGCCCTGCTGATAGGAACACCCCACTCTGCCAGCAAGCCTCCACCCAAAGGCACTCAGCTTTTTGGCTGCTGGGCTGGGAAGCACAACACTCTGTCTCAGGCCAGTCTCTTTGTTCTGCTGCCACAGCTGCTGCCATCTGTCTGCCATCTGGTATCTCTCTGTCATTTCAGCTCAGGATCTCAGATCCAAGGACCACTCCATTGTCAGGTTTTCTCTCTTGATGACAGTGAGATCCTCCTTTTCACCTCTAGGATGGCTTTTTGGTTTTTTTTATTAGGTATTCTTTTTTTAAAAAATTTTATATTATTTATTTCATTGTGATCAGATGAGAGTTTACAGAGCAAATTTGTTTTCCATTCAACATCATACACATTTATTTTTCATGATATTGATTGCAATCCCCATAATGTAACAGCTCTCTTCCTACTTCCTCTCTGAGGTTAAAATGGGATGACTCATTTTATGCCTAGTAGATAGCAAAACTGACCAGTCCCCACATTAGGTTTCATACACCTTATCTGCATGGTCCCACCCCACAAGAGTGTCATGTACCTTATTTACATTACTAACAAACTATCCAATCCCCTTGGTGGGCCACAAGCACCCATACTATGGTGCACTGAATTACTTAGTATGGGTCTTTGTGGTGGTTATGTTTGTGTGTCAGCTTGGCTGGGGCTGGTTGAGTGGCTGGGCAGCTGATGGAAGTTATTCCCCATGATGATACTGGCAATCAGCTCCATAGTGGGATCTACCACAAGCAGCTGAGTAGCTGCTTTGGGTATGTGGTCTGCTTCCCGTATATAAAAAGCAGCTTTGGGAATGGTCTCTAGCTTATGGCACGCTTGGACCCTGCATGTAGCTGTGTCATTGTTCAGCAGCCTGCCATGCTCTGCTGACTTTGGAACTTACAATGAACTTGAATTAATAGCCTGCCATGTGCTTTGGTAACATCAGGACTGTGCCTTTTCACTTGTCAACCTTGGGCTTCTCAGCCTCAGCAGCCACCAGCTGTCTGAGTGAAGAAACACCTCTCGCTCCAGTGGGTCGGGAGCAGAGGCAGAGCTGGACCCCAAGACTGAGGGGCTTTCACCCAGCCCCTAGAGCCTGGCACTTTGAACTTGGACTTAAAGCCTCCAAACTGTAAGAGAATAAACTCCTGTTTGTTAAGGCCATCCCATTTGTGGTATATTCTTGTCAGAGTGGTACTAGGGAACCAGAACAGTCTTCTAGCCATGATCTTTGTGACTCTCACCAGATAACTGGCTGGAACTATGCCAAAGTGAGGTGCTTGTGGCCCACCAAGGGGACTGGATAGCTTGTCAGTAATGTAAATAAGGTGCGTGGCACGCTTGTGGAGGAGGGACCATGCAAATAAGGTGTGTGGAACCCTAAGGTGGGGATTTGTCAGTTTTGTTATTCTGCTATGGTTAAAAGGAACCCTCCTAAAGGCAGAAGGGAGGAATCTCACTGCCATCAAGAGAGAAGAGCCAGAGGTGGAGTGAACTGCGTCCTTGGACCCAAGATCCCTGTGCTGCACCTCCTTGGCAGAGAGTGACAGAGAGACAGCAGTAGCAGAGGCAGCAGAACTGAAAGACCAGTGTGAGACAGCGTGGTGGGCTTCTTAGCCCACAGAGCAAGAAAGCTGAGTGCTTTTGGGCAGAAGGCTTGCTGGTGCAGTGGGGTGCACCTAGGTGAACCTACTGACAGAACTAAAAGAACTTTGTAATACTTGACTGAGCAGGGCAGAGGCCAGGCCAAGAGGCTGAGAGCCAAGGGGAGACATGTCTTTGGGCATAGTTGTGGGGAGGCTGTCCTGATTGAAGAATTGTACCCTGAACCTGAATTG